GAACAAGCATGGGAATTGCGAAAAATGTTTGGGAAATACGAAGTCTGCAGGCCTGCAATTCCTTAAGTCCAAAATTTCACCTCGTGGCCTATCCAAAACTCACCCGAGCCCTCGGGGCTCCAAACCAAATATACACACAACCTCAAAAATATCATACGGACTTATTCGTGCGATCAAATCGCCAAAAATAACATCATTATCAACAAATTAACCCTAAAAAATCAAAGCATTTTTCTCAAACTTCATCAAGTATCAAATTTAGCAATTTAAGTCCGAATCACGTCAAACGACGTCCGTTTTTCACCAAATTTTACAGAAATATCTTAAATCGTATATAAGACCTGTACCGGGTGCCGAAACCAAAATACGGGCCCGATACCAACACGTTCTAATCAAATTTCATTTCAAATTTCCTTAAATAATTTCAGAAAATAATTTCCTTTAAAAATTCATTTCTCGGGCTCGGGACCTCAGAATTCGATTCCGGGCATACGCCCAAGTCCCATATTTTCCTACGGACCCTCCGGGACCGTCAAATCACGAGTCCGGATCCGTTTACCCAAAACGTTGACCGAAGTCAAATTAACTCATTTTATAGCCAAATTTTACCATTTTTCATAGATTTTCATATTTAAGCTTTACGGCTACGCGCCCGGATTGCGCACGCAAATCGAGGTAACTCTAAATGAGGTTTTCAAGGCCTCGGAAATACAGATTTTAATTTAAAGCAAGTGATGACCTTTTGGGTCATCACAACTACTGCAGCTGCTGCCCAACACCTGGATCTGTGCAAAAGAGCACAGAGTGTAGTATCAGCACAACCGACCCCATGTGCTGGTAAGTGTCTGGCCTAACCCCGGCGAGGTAGTGACGAGGCTAGTGCCAGAATCCAGACAAACCTGTGCAGTTATATAATGCATCGCGGAAAAATAAACAAGTAATAAGCAGTTATAAGGGAAGGGGGTACATGCCTCGGGGGAAACAATTCAACTTATCAGAAACCGAATTAAATACAAAGGAACAGTACAATGTCCAAGACAATATGATACCACTACTGTTGCGGCGCGCAACCCGATCCGTACTTTAACTATAACTGTTGCGGCGTGCAACCCGATCCAATAAATATAACATATACCTGTTGCGGCGTGCAACCCGATCCAATCAAATTTATGTTGCGGCGTGCAACTAGATCCACTATAGAGTATGTTGCGGCGCGCAACCCGTTCCAAGTATGCATAACTTATCATAATCATAACCACAAACCTCAGTAGAGGATCAATCATAAAATACTCTATCCCGGCAAGGGAACTCAACAGTACAAGTATACTCATCCCGGCAAGGGAGAACCAACTATAACTAATCTCAATTCGAATTTAGCATTTCTATTATCACAATTTCTAACTCATAATTAATTTTCACAAAAATAAGCTAAACCTTGCTCAACAACACAAGTCTATTCACTGTTTCGACCATAGTATCATTCGAGAACGCAATAAATGTCAATTTAAGACTCACGATCATGCTCGACACCGGCGTATAGATACTCGTCACCATGCCTATACGTCGTACTCCACAAGAAACACATAACAAATATGACTCAACTCCTAATCCCTCAAGCTAAGGTTAAATCGAACACTTACCTCGATGCTTTGACTTCAACTCAAGTCTCAATTATAGCTTTACCCCTCGATTCCGCCACCAATTCACTCGTATCTAATCACAAATTACTTAATTACATTAATAAACACTAAATGAATCAATTTGAATGCATAAAAATGAATTTTCCAAAGTTTTTCCCAAAAATTCCAAAATCGCCCCCGGGCCCACGTGGTCAAAACCCGAGGTTCGAACCAAAACCCGGCTACCCATTCCCCCACGAACCCAAATATATGATTTGTTTTGAAATCGGACCTCAAATTGAGGTCCAAATCCCCAATTTTAGAAAAACCTAGGTTCTACACAAAACCCCCAATTTCTCCCATGAAAATCTTTGATTTCAAGTTGAAAACATGTTAGATGATGTAAATGATTGAAAGAAACGAGTAAAAATCAACTTACAAATGATTTGGAAGAAGGTTGGTTCTTGAAAAATCACCCAAAGGAGTTGTATTTTGAAAATGGGGTGAAAAATATCTTAAAATCGACTAAGTATGAAAAATGCAGGTTGCAGATGTGGGAAATACGAACTGGGGTTCGCAATTGCGAACCCCGACCTGTTATGGGAATTGCCAAGATTGGTCCGCATTTGCGAACACTGGACAACAATGAAGGCATCGCATTTGCGACAATGTTGTCGCATTTGCGAAATGCCTGCCTTCGCATTTGCGAGCCACTATGTCGCATTTGCGACTGGCTCAACATCGCATTTGCGAACCAGGTGATCGCATTTGCGACCCAACTACAGGATCTCCAATCTCGCATTTGCGATCATAGGCTCGCATTTGCGAGATCTTCTTCGCAAATGCGAAGATACCAGAACTGAAATGCCAGATTTTCACAAAGGTTCAAAATGCACTCACGGCCTATCCAAAATTCTCTCGAACCCTCGGGGCTCCAAACCAACCACACACACAACCTCAAAAACATCCTACGGACTTATCCGTGCGATCAAATCGCCAAAACAACATCATAAACATCGAATTAAGCCTCAAAATCCATGATTTCTTCCAAATTTCATAAAACATCAAACTTTCCATTTTAAGTCCGAAACACGTCAAACGACGTCAGTTTTCAACCAAACTTTACAGAAAGAGCTTAAACCATATATAAGACCTGTATCGGGCGCCGGAACCAAAATACGGGCCCGATACCCTTACGTTCTAATCAAATTTCATTTCTAATTTCCTTAATTATTTTCAAAAAACAATTTTACTCAAAAATTTATTTCTCGGGCTTGGGACCTCGGAATTCGATTTCCGGCATATGCCCAAGTTCCATATTTTCCTACGGACCTTCCGGGACAGTCAAATCACGGGTCCGGGTCCATTTATCCAAAATATTGACCGAAGTCAAATTTACTCATTTTTATATCAAAATTTAGCATATTTCACATAATTTCATATTTAGACTTTCCGGCTACGCGTCCGGACTGCGCACGCAAGTCGAGGCAACCCTAAATGATGTTTTAAGGCCTCGAAAGCACATAATGAATAAGAAAACAAGTGATGACCCTTTGGGTCGTCACAATTCCTCTCATCTTCTCTTAGGTAGGTACTAAGAACACAACTTTATATTTTAGTTTTTTTATATGTGTATCTCTATCTTATTATAATGGTAGCAACTGGGGATTTTTTTTTAAATTTAGTTTCTTTTATATAAGTGATTCACATAATTAAAAGGCAAGTGTAATTGTGTTAAGATATTGATCAACTCTTTAACCGTTTAAAAAATATTTTAATTTGGGTGAAATGATAATTAACTGATAATTAGGATTTCAAGTAAACTAACCTTTTTTTATAATTAATGAATCCAAATCCCACACAAACTGGGAAAGAATAATTGGACGAAGTATATTATCATCCAAGAAGAAGGCTACTATGCGAAGCATTTGTTCCAAGAAAAAGTAGGCAAAAATAACTCTGGATAAAGAGAAAGAATTTTTACGCTTTTTTATTTCTTGGTGTTTTCTTTTAGTTTGTATATTGCATTGTGTAAAATATCAGAGAGGAGGGTAAAATATTGTATTGTTGGTGCGGGAGGATGAATCCAAAATCAATTTGGATAGGAATATTTCACCTTCACACTTTTTCCTTTTTGCTCGGTAGGTGCAATTTTAATCGGAAAAGAATTTCAGTGTTAGGTGATTTACAATTATATTCTTAAATTAAATATGTATTTAAGGTTATAAAAGTCAATAAATATTTCGGGGATATTTTAGTCGTTCGACATTTAGCCTAAATTATTCGTGCTTTTTCTATGTGCGTGCTTTGCACGGTGATATTTAGTCAATTCTCTATCTATCTATATTAAGCATGAATACAATGTCGGTTTACAAAAATAACCTTATAATATTAAGCATAATAACTCATAAGGAAATGACACAATTGGGAATATTACATATTAGAATAAAGACTTGTAGTAGAATAAGGAATTAACTCACGCAAATAATATGCTGCAAAATTAATATTGAGTATAGAGAAATAATTTTAAAAGGCTTACGAACCAAATTGCTGCAATGAGTAGTGATACATCTCCTATCCTCTAGAAGCCTTAAAAAATCACGAATGATCTTTTCTATTCTTCCTTCCTTCATTCAATTGAATGTTTTCTTGACCTCCTACAATTTCAACTCTTAGTTACCAATTTTATAAATTAAATAAAAAATGAGCAAATTAAAATTTTAAGAATCTTTCGGGTCTTCGTGATCTCGAAGCTAATCAAAAGTTACAAGCATCCTTCATCCAAAAAAAAAAATTATTGGATCGCAATCTAAAAGCTAACATGCATCCTTCATGATTTTTCTCATTCTGTAAGTACTTTGGCAAATAGACGTGTTTCGTCATGCCCTTAATCTCTATAACCTTTTCTTTGTTTCTTTGCATATTATGTACTTAATTTTTGAAAACCTTATAGGTACCCAAGAAGAATAAAGAGCAGCAGATTAGGAAGATTACCTAATAAATTACCTTAACGCATGATTACAGGGTGATCATCAATTTCCTAAAACTACAATAGGAGGGAGAATGCGCCAATTTAAACCAAGTTGGTTTAAAAGTTCATTTTCAAGATGGTTGGAGTATAGTGTGAAAAAAGATGCCGCATATTGTCTATGTTGTTATTTGTTCAAAAATGAATTTGTTCATGGAAGTGCGGGTGAATGTTTTACAAAAAGTGGTTTTAGGGCTTGGAATAAGGCTCTTGAAAGGTTTCGTTTACATGTCGGTGAGATTCCTAGTGTCCATAATAAATGTTTCAACAAGATACTAGATTTGTCAAATAATCATCAATCAGTTCAAGTTGTTTTAGACAAGCATTCTAAGAAGGTAAAAAGTGAGTACCGAATGCGCTTGGAAGCCTCAATTGATGTTGCAAGACTTCTCTTGCATCATGGATTACCTTTCCGAGGTCATGACGAAAGTGAATCCTCAACAAATCAAGGCTTATTTCTAAGCTTTTTGCGGTGGCATGGGGACAAGCATCCGGATGTGGGAAAAGTAATATTAGAAAATGCTCCACAAAATGATACTTTAACTTGTCCTATGATTCAAAAGGATATTGTCAATGCTTGTGCAAAGGAAACAATGAAATCTATAATTGAAGACTTGAATGAATATTACTTTGGTATATTAGCCGATGAATCCAAAGATATCTCGCACAAAGAACAAATGGCTCTTGTTTTGCGGTATGTTAATAAGAATGGTGAAGTGGTAGAACGATTTGTTGGCCTTGTCCATGTTAGTGATACATCGGCATGCTCATTAAAGGAAGCAATATATTCTTTGCTTTCGGATCACTCACTAAGTACATCCAAAATATGTGGACAAAGTTATGATGGAGCTAGTAATATGAAGGGAGAGATAAGTGGTCTCAAGACTTTAATTATGAAAGATAGCTCATCGGCGTATTACATTCATTGCTTCGCTCATCAATTGCAATTAACACTTGTAGCTATTACTAAAAAGCATTTGGATGTTGAAGACTTTTTTGATCATGTTACTAATATGTTCAATGTTGTTGGAGGATCTTTCAAGCGCAGAGACTTGCTCCGTATTCCCTAACATTTGAAAACAAACAGGAGTCAACCTAATTTGTTGAACGAACTCATTTTCCCTATTCCCTAACATTTGTAAGTTTCTGTTTTTACTATCGCAAAAATGTAATACATTGTGCTTTTGGATTTTAACCATTCTGTCTTTAAATTATTACTTTGGGATATGCTATCAAAATATTTTTTTAAGGTGATGCACAAGAGGCATCAGATTTACATATGCCGAAACACACCCTATTGTAGAGGTTTCCCTAGCAGGAAACCTATTAGTACTTAACACGTCCATAGCATTACTATTTACAGAAGATAACCTAATACTACTATTACTAACTTCACTGACTGCCGATTTAACCAGCCTTGTACGGAATAGTCCTTGCTGGTCATGCTGGTAGGAAGATGTCACAAAAGGTGGTGGTTGTTTATACATTATACAGAAACCTTGTTCTTGCTGAGCTCCATACTTTGCTAGATTGTCCGCAACACAGTTCTGCTCTCGATACACACTTGAGATGGTTGGTCTATCAAGTTGTAGGAGGAGCCACCTGCAATCATTTAGGATATTTACTAACAAGTAGTACCATCTATTGGCTTCTTCATTTCCTTAGGGAAAAAAAATAGTGGGGTGCATACGCTATATAAAACTAATTAAGCTTCTAAAAATCAAAGAAATTATTTATAGACTTTGAGGATATCATATTTAACAAAATTGTATAAGACATTTTTTAATTCCACAGAAACTTACCAGTTTTGTTATGAAGTAATTTGCAGAAATCTAGTATAATTGAGTATATTTTAGTAAATGCACTTAACATTTAATGGCAAGAAAACTACCACTTCACTTCTTGATCTCAACAGTTTCACCTTGATTAACCACTATGACAAGGTTTCATCAGATCATGTAAAAAGTTGGAAAATAATACCCTCTTATTCTTATACTGCTTATTTAGCTCAACAGCTCCACTTTGTTTTGTTAACCAATAGGTCAAGGTTCATCAATATATTTTAATTGACACAATCTAAGTTGATAACCTCAATAAGTATCTAAGTACTTAATAATAATAAACAAATAAAAAGCTTTTTCCTCTGTTTTTCCTTCTGGCATCAAAAAGAGACGTGACTAAGTAACTACAACAACACTATTATCACTAAATTTGTAAAGAGATTATTCATCAGTCATATAAACACGGCTAAGCCAAAAACTTCTGAGTGGTAAAAGCGTTAGATTTTCTTTTGGAAAAATGACATTGTATAGCCGCTTTCAAAATAATTTTTACATATTTTTTGTATATATGTACATCCTATATGTTATATACAAAAATTATATAAATTTTATACGCTTTTTCGGCTACCGAATGTAAATAGTTTATGCTGCGGGCTAAAGGTGATAATACTCCCTTCTTTATTATGTGTAGTCCAATAAGGTTAAACCCATAACTTGAATATTTGATAATGAACAAATCCTCCGTTAATTTTGTTCTTTTATGGACGTACTAGATTAAGTCAAAATTCTATAAATTGATCATCTCCCTACCCAAGCATTACCATATTGTGTACACTATTCCATCATTGAAAGTGTGGTAACACAAGTTAGGGCAAGGGGAGAAAAATCAATTTTTTGTAAAAAGCATTATTTTTTTTCCCCCCTACTACAAAGCTTCTGAATCTTCTACAATAATGTCTTTTGGATTAGGTATGTTTTCTGTAATATCTTTCTATACAATTATTATAATAAAATTTTGGTATGCAGGATTTGATTTATGTTATGTCATGTATGTTTATGTATGCAAAAAATACATTGGACGATTGAAAAGTTACAATAAAATAACTACTATGAGCTAGGAGATATATTTTGCCATTTTTGAGGAGCTTTAATAAATTTTAGAATTATTGAATACAAAGTTCCACCACAAAAATCTTCATTCAATTATGTCACAATATATATTTACAGTAAGCGTTTTTACACTATCAATTTCACCCATACCCCATTCATGGATTGAGTGGCGGATCCACATATGTATTTGTGGGTGCTTAAGCACTCATTACCCTTCACCCTTGATAGATCATATGTAGTAAATTGGCATAGGTAATTATATATNTTGAAAATTATAGTGTGTAGATAGGTAATTATATATATATATATATATATATATATATATATATATATATATATATATATATATATATATATATATATATATAGATGAGCACCCACAACTAAACTCCTTTTTTTTCTTCTTTTAAATTTTTTATCGATCATCACCCATGACTTTAAAATCATGAATCCGCCACTACCTAAACCCCCTAAGTAAATAGAAAAATAAAATCAAAATTATTCAAAAACAAAGGAAAGGAGTGAGTAAAACTCTCTATTTTCAAGTGCATATGCCGGACTGTTTAAACATATTTTTTCTTCATATACAATCCTTTAATTCTATTTCGTGAATGCTTATAGTCATTCACAAAATAAATAAGAATTAGTGGACAATAGAATTCACGAGAAGAACGATAACGGCTAATAAGTAGTATATAATACTACAACAATTAATGTGAACTTCAGGTAGGTCATGTAAGTTAGCTCATTAATGGCTAATAAGTAGGCGAGTAATGTGTAAATGGCTTTTCGAGTCACAAAAATGTTATGACAAATGATATGAGCACATATTTCAGTAACCAGAGAAGTCTTGGAATTATAAATAGTACTACAATTGCTATAAAAACTCTTACACTTCCCTAGAACTTTTGGAACATATTAATGTATTATGTATACTACTTCATCTCTAGCCAAACATCTTTAGTCCATCCAAACGTGAAATATCTACATACCAAACATGGATGCTACAGTAACATAACAATCATGCCACCAAAGAAAGGACGACCAAGAATGGTCCTTCACTCACCACTTGCCTCACCCCTGTCACATCATACTTCCTAGCTAGTGTATTTTGTTTGTTTGGAAGAATTAACCCAAATAACCATTTATCCAATCGTTTAAACTAGAAATAACCGATGAAGGTATAATTTATATATTAATTATATATAATTGTATATAATCAATGTATAATCTATATATATGGTTAGAAAAAGTAAAGAATGAATATGACCGACTATTTATGTAAAGATCCCTATTTTATTTAATCACCATGATGATCGAGTTTCAACTAATTTCACTAGCTACCTCTCGTCAGCATATCGAAAAATTTTGTCCATCGTTGTTTAAACAAATGAGGTACTTCCTAGTGTATGAATTAGTACTTAAAAAATTTATCTACACGTGAATGAACGCATAATGTATAACTATACATACAATTTAATATTAAATTACCGTAATACAAGTGTAATCTCGCAAGTGAAGTTTTGGAAGAGTAATGTCTATACAAAACCTTACCCCCCTGTCTTGTAAAGGTAGAGAGACTGTTTCAAGTTGACCCTCGGCTCGAAGATACAATTTAACATATTATTATAATTAATTATAGAGTATAAGTATTTCTACCCTCAATTTATCACATTCACTTAACCATAATAAATAGGTTATATATAATTCAGTGTGCATAAGCATTTACCACCAAAAGCTAATTTGGTCCCTAGCTGCATTAAGAAACTTTTGGTAAAACATCAACCTCTAAGTTTTGCTAATTGAAAAATGGCCCCACTAAAACAATATAATAAACACCTTATCTGTATTGGTTAAGAATCTTATTGCTTTCAAAGACACCCACATCCAACTGACACTTCCAGTTCCAACAAAAGGATGTTAATAATTAATTATACTTAATCCTTTACGGCAAACATTACTCCACTAAAAATAAATTAGTCAGAATTACTTAGATTGAATACTGTTCTTATTTCGGCATTTTGCATAAATTTTGAGTAATTACTGAATTTGTCTATGTAGAATATTCGAAAGAACCAAAAGACACGTACTTTTGTCCTTATAAGCTGTTCATGAACCAAATAGTTTTTGATTTAAATAGCTTGGTGACCAAAATGATCCACACACTAATGTCATCTCTTTCCTAAAATGGTAGAGTGGTCACATGAAGATCACGTGATCATCTGTTTAAGCAAAAAACTTGAAAGAAGCCATTGATACCCTTTCTTTTTTGCCAAATTGGTTTGTCCAAAATTCCCAACTACAAATACGCGAATTGAATAGACACCAATTAGGATTATGTAATAACTTTTAGACATAAGGATTTCAATTTTCAATCCTTTGGTACTACGGTTCCAAATGGATTAATCCCAGGAAAGAAATAAGTACGATAGTGTTTTAATTTGAGTGATAGTTATTTATTCCCTTTTTTACAATTTGATTGTTCTAGTGCGCACTTGTTATTTCACATTAGTATAGGTATTGGGTAAATTTGCATCAAAACTTATACAAGTTAGAAGTAAATCACTTAGCATTAATTTTTGGGAAAATGACAGCATTGTATAGCTGCTCTCTAAATAATAGTAAAAAATAATGATACTATATTATTTTGCATATTTTTTGTATGTTATATATAAATATACGGATTTTATATATTATTACGGCTATCGAATATAAATAATTTTGGCCCCGAGCTAAAATTGATCTTTGCGAGAACGACTTTGGTTTAGTGGATAAGCTTTTTGTCAATGGTAGATGAGGGGCTAAGCCGATTGCTTTAGGTTATATTTCAGAACCAATTGTTTTCTTTAAAGAGTGAAAGTTCTTGCTAAGTGAAACTCTTTTAAAATAATTTTAACTAGATAATAGCTGTGTTTTCTTATAAGAGAACGACACGATTTTCTTTTCAAAACAAACATCACTTGGTTGCATGCTTGGATTAGATGTGGTTTTTGTTTATGTTATATTAGTATATTAGTATACAGTCAAACATTTTTATAATAGCCTTGTTTGTTCTGATATTTTTTGACTGTTATAGTAAAATACTGTTATAGAGAACATATTATAAGATAATATTAAAATCGGTTTCGAAAAAATTTTGTTATATATGGATGCTATTATAAAGAGGTCTGACTGTATAATCAGAATTCGAAAGTTAAGCGCGCTTAGAGCGAAGGTAGTACTAGGATAAGTGCCCCCTATGTAAACCTCGTGTCGTATTTTTTTCACTATGTAAGATTACACTAGATACGTTGTCGTATTGCTATTATATACTACTAAAAAATAAAAAAGTAAAATAAAAAGATAGCAAGTGGATGCAAAGTAACTCAATATTCTGAAGCTTTAACTAGTCTAAAAAGTAAAAGTATCAGTCCACTAAACCACTGATTACATCACTACTCCACTAAACCCCACTAATACAACTCCACGCACTCTAATAATCCCACAAATATAAAGAATATGAAATGAATAACAAGTCAAACAAAAAAATAATTACAACAAATATTTCTACTAATAATTTTGTTCTGGTTTTATTTGTAACGAGTGCTTGGATTTAGTTTTGGAAAAACTGGTTTTAGACTTTGTATTATCTAACTGCCTTTTGTTTGTTTGTTGAAAAATATTGCTAAAACTCTAAAAACGATTTTGACTTTCACATTGATTAAATTAACAGATTGTCTACAACATACCTACTCTTATAATATTACACATATTTACAATAGATTCTTGAATAAAAATCAATTAGAAAAAAAATTCAATTTTTCTTGAGGCAAAATTGCAACACTCTAAAATATAGAAGTGATAAATGTGGAGATAAAAGCAATCCATTATTGAAAAGACAAGTCCGCAGAATTTAAGTTTTTTTGTTCAAATGGTGTAAGTATATAAACAATTAAATTATTTATAAAGTAATAAGTTAATGTAACTTACTAGTAAGACTTATACTTCAATATTATTAATGTAGTCTCACATACAATATATGTGATTCTGATTCCATTACCTTTTTTTTCTCTTTTCTTTCATTACCACTAAAATTGAAGGTAAATCTCTTATTATAAGCATTTTTTGGTAACTTAATAAAAATAATATAACTAACTTGATATGATTGATCAAACTACACCTACTATTATTTATATCTAACAAAAATTAGTAGGAGTAAATAGTTCACAGAAAAAAGAAAAAAAAAAACTATGCTGCGTAAACTTTACCACGTCATCAGCCAGCTCATTCGAACCCAGTCAACGTCCATGATATGTCCACATCAGCATCCGATTGGACTCGCGTCCAAACAAAAAGGACACACATAAACGGAACCATGTAGGGGCTAAGTTGTCATTTTAGTTGACCTACCCTCGCTTTATAAGACACCGGGTCTCCTTAATCCCCTTCCATTTCATCGATTTTCTCTCTCTACAAATCACAGTCCCCTCCCTCACTTTCTCACTCTCTCTCTCTCTCTCTCCCTCTCTCCCCAGTCCTTTAGTGCCGTTTTTTCCCCTCTGCTCCCATCTTTTGGAGTGTGTGGTAATCGGCTTTTACAGCGGCGGCGGTTTTGAGGTAACGATCGGATTAGCGTTTTTAGTTTTTTTTGCCGTTTTTGTTGTTAGGTTTCGTTTCTTTGTACTTGTGTTAATTTAGCTTGTGATGTTTTTAGATAGATCTGTTTGCTTTGTGTTTTTGGCTTTCGTTTTTCGTCGATCTGTTGTTTCACTTGTGAGTTTTACTCTGATTCTTCCTTTGGCGTGTTTTCGTTGAATTCGCTTGATGATCAGATCTTTTAGGTTATCACTTTTTTCCACTAGCGTATGCTGTTTTCCTTTCACAAATGTATTTTAAGCCAGTGCTAAGTTGTACTTTAGTTAGCTAGGGTTTTTGTTGTTTTGCTTTCCTGTCCTCTTTGGCGTTTTGTTTTTAGTTTTGGAAATAAGTGTTGCCTATGTCTACAATATAAGTTGCTTGTTCTGTCTATGTATAGTACAGTGGATACTTTTTTATGGGTTTTGGTTTGCGATTTTTCGGTTCTGAGGTCATACCAGTCTCTAAACATTTGAAGAGAGTGCGGCTGATCTCTGTGTGAACGTGACTGAATTTTTTCAATCATTGTTGTTTGGTTTTTTCTAGTTGACACGATGGTGCGGAAGAGGAGAACTGAGTTACCTGGTTCTGGTGAGAGCTCTGGGTCTCAAGAAACTGGAGGACAGGGTCGTGCCCAGCATCCACAGCAGCTGCAGCAACAACAAGGCGGCTACCAAGGTGCTCAAGAAACTGGAGCACAGGGTCGCGGCCAGCGTCCACAGCAGCAACAGCAACAAGTCGGTTACCAAGGTGCTCAAGAAACTGGAGCACAGGGTCGCGGCCAGCGTCCACAGCAGCAACAAGGCGGCTACCAAGGTGGAGGAAGAGGCTGGAGGCCGCAGCAGGGAGGATATGGTGGCCGTGGTGCTGGTGGACCTCCACGTGGTGGAATGGCCCCTCAACAGTCATATGGCGGAATGGCCCCTCAACAGTCATATGGTGGACAACCTGAATACTATCAGCAGGGCAGGGGGACTCAGCAGCATCAACGAGGCGGAGGACCACCCCAGCAACATGGCATAGGTGGCCGTGGGGCACCTTCTGGTGGGCCTTCTAGGCCACCAGCACCCGAGCTGCACCAAGCTACCTCCCAGACTCCATATCAAGCTGCAATGACTACTCAGCCTATACCTTATGTAAGACCAACTGAAACATCCTCGGAAGCTGGTTCCTCATCTCAGCCACCTGAGCAGGCAGCTCTACAAGTGACACAACAGTTCCAGCAACTTGCTTTGCAGCAAGAAGCGGCTCCAACGCAAGCAGTTCCACCTGCATCAAGCAAATCACTAAGGTTTCCCCTGCGTCCAGGGAAGGGGAGCAATGGTATGAGATGCATAGTCAAAGCCAATCACTTCTTCGCAGAGCTGCCTGACAAAGACTTGCACCAGTATGATGTGAGTGCTCAAACTTTCTAGTAATTTTTTTTGTTCTTATTATTTTGGTTTCTTATATTCTTCCTTATCGTTTATCATATCTATTGTTAATCATTACTTTATGAATATCAGGTCACAATTTCTCCAGAGGTGTCGTCACGTGGCGTCAACCGTGCTGTCATGGCGCAGCTGGTGAAGCTGTACAAAGAATCTCATCTTGGGAAGAGACTTCCAGCTTATGATGGACGGAAAAGTCTATACACTGCAGGACCCCTTCCATTTGTTCAAAAAGACTTCAAAATAACTCTTATTGATGATGAGGATGGGCCTGGTGGCGCTAGGTATATATACCTGAAGTTTCAAATAGTTGTTGGTTCAGTTTCTAGCAATTCTAAATTTCTTTTTGTTATTATTGAAACAGAAGGGAAAGGGAATTTAAAGTCGTGATCAAATTGGCTGCCCGTGCTGATCTTCATCACTTGGGAATGTTTTTAGAAGGGAAGCAGGCTGATGCACCTCAAGAGGCGCTTCAAGTTCTGGATATTGTTCTGCGTGAGTTGCCAACATCTAGGTATGGTTTTTGGATGCAATGCACGTCACTGTAGTTTCTTTACATTGTGATGATTGTACACAAAGAAAATTGATTATTTATGATTATCATTTTGTATATTTTCTTAATTTGTGAGTGATGGCAGGTTTTGTCCTGTGGGCCGTTCTTTCTATTCCCCTGATTTAGGGCGAAGGCAACCATTGGGTGAAGGTTTAGAGAGTTGGCGTGGGTTCTATCAAAGCATTCGCCCGACACAAATGGGCTTATCACTGAACATCGGTATGCATAGTATTGACATTTTGGAACTGTTGTTTTGCTTTTACTTAAATTCCCACAGTAATTCAGAAAATTTTATGATGTTCAATTTTATGTATCATCGTACAGATATGTCTTCCACTGCATTCATTGAGCCACTGCCAGTCATTGATTTTGTGACACAGCTTCTGAACCGAGACGTGTCATCTAGACCACTGTCTGATGCTGACCGTGTAAAGGTGTTCTGAATTTCTAAGAATCTTATTCTCAAGTTCTATCCATTGTTTAGTTAGATGTTTGTCCTCTATCTAGTTAGCTTATAGCAGATTGTACTTCCTGGATATGTTGTCTTGCTTTGACAACTTTCTTCTTTATGAATGTTGTTTCTCTTACCCTGTAATTGGTGGTTTTTGGGCTGCAGATCAAAAAAGCTCTGAGAGGTGTGAAGGTGGAGGTTACTCATCGTGGAAATATGCGGAGGAAGTACCGCATTTCGGGTTTAACATCTCAAGCAACAAGAGAGTTGACGTATGTAGGCTTATTTAGTTATAAGAGAACTTTTATATAAGGTCATATCATGTGTAGCTGCAAATAGCGGTGTTCCTACATGCTCGCTCTCCGTATCCTGCCATATCTTCCTGGATTCTTTCTTGGTGCTGATCCTTGATCTTTCTCTTTGTTTCCCCCTTGTTTTTTTGGTTGGTAGCTTCCCTGTTGATGAAAATGGTACAGTGAAATCTGTAATTGAATATTTTCGAGAAACATATGGGTTTGTAATTCAGCATACCCAGTGGCCTTGCCTACAAGTTGGAAATCAGCAGAGACCTAATTACTTGCCAATGGAAGTTAGTGCCTCTTTCACACTGAACTATTCTTGGCTGATTATCTTATCAATTTTCTATGCTTACATATATCATGGTCCAGGTCTGCAAGATTGTGGAGGGACAAAGGTACTCAAAGCGCTTGAATGAGAGACAGATCACTGCACTTCTGAAAGTGACCTGCCAGCGTCCCCAAGAGAGGGAGCGCGATATTCTTGAGGTTTGGAGCTCTGCCTTCTTATTTATTTACGTGCTTTATTTGGAATACGTTGCGATTGAGGCAATGTTGGCTAATTGGGCTGTTGATATACTTATTAATGTAGAAGTGAAGTGACATATGAGCGTTAAATTAATTGTTACTGGTGCTGTTACTTTGATTCTAAGTTGCTGCACTTCATATCAGTTACTCCCTCCGTTCCAATTTAGGTGAACCTGTTTGACTTGGCATTGAGATTAAGAAAGAATGAATACTTTTAGAATTTGTGATCCTAAACAAATTAAAAAGGGCCCAGAGTATTTGTGTTGTTATAAAATCTCCTCATTAAGGGTACAATTGTAAGTTTAAGCTAAATTGTTTCCAAATGAACGGACCAAAAAGGAAATAGGTTCACATAAGCTGGAACGGAGGGAGCAGTATTTTCTGTTCAGGGATAAATTATGTTCATATAGATTCATCTATTATTAGGAGCTACAACGCGATGTGTTGGTCACACAGTTTCACTTGATAAGGTTGTGGTGGAAAATGAATGTGAATAAGAGAGATAGATAGATAGAGCAATCTTATTTATATTTGTGATTTGTAATTGAATGGCTATGGTTATCTAGTTTGGGAATTTAATTTGCTGGAACTTGATGATTCACAAATTTGCATCACTTGTACACGTCATTAATGTAAATAACATCTTTTGTTTTCTTCTTTTATGGTGAGAGAAAGTCTGTCCTGCTTTGCCATAGGCTGTGTTGGTGAATGATTGCCAGTTTTAGTCCCGTGTCATGATCCATATTCCATCTTAACACATTTTGAAAATAATGTGAGATCTTCAAAGGCTAAGCATTTGCCACGGTCACCGACAGAGGATAGTCCTTTTTGTCTAGATTTCTTTCAAGGCTATGGTAGTCATTTTTTGCATGTTGAGACTTGGAAAAGATATCATGGTTGCTGTGATATACTTCACAATATTTATTAGCAAAAGTTACAATCAGATGACTGTTTTTGATTTGATAATTTGCTTATAAATTCACTTCCATTTTATTTCCGTTTCTATGTCAGACCGTACATCATAACGCCTATGCTAATGACCCATATGCCAAGGAGTTTGGTATTAAGATTAGTGACAAGTTGGCACAAGTTGAGGCTCGTATTTTGCCTCCACCTCGGGTAAGTTAAGGCTCCTCACGTCTTTATCAAAAATTAATTCCTCTCATGGTTGAGGGGGTATGGTCTTTGCTACCTCTGAGTATACCATTCTTGCTTAAGTTTGATTTGTGCAGTGAAAGAGTTTATTTTAGTTAGGATTTCAGTAATGAGTATGTATTTCTGCAGCTTAAATATCATGATAATGGTCGAGAAAAGGACTGCCTGCCACAAGTTGGCCAATGGAATATGATGAACAAGGTACCTAGTACTGTTGACACTCTTTAAATTTCATCTCATCTGTTTGTTTTTGTTTTATGTTCAGTTAATTCGTACTATCTGGTGTGTACTGGTAGAAGGCCCGTGTTGCATTTTTCCTTTCATTATTTTGATTCAATGAAAACATTGGAGGTGCACTATTAGTACACACCATCCTGGCTTTTTTGTGAGACTGCTGTGTGGCTGTGTACTGGTAGAAGGCCCGCGTTGCATTGTCCCTTCATTATTTTGATTCAATGAAAACACTGGAGTGCACTATTACACACCATCCTGGCTTTTTGGTGAGACTGCTTTGTGGCTGTTGCTCTTTGCTCAGCTAAGACTAATACTGTATATCTTACTATTGACAGAAAATGGTAAATGGAGGGACGGTGAACAATTGGATCTGCATAAACTTTTCTCGCAATGTGCAAGACAGTGTTGCTCATGGGTTTTGCTCTGAGCTTGCACAAATGTGCCAGATATCTGGCATGGTAAATAAGTAGTTTGCCGTTTTCTTCTCGTCATTTTTGGTCTTTCAACCCAATATTGACATTACTATCTTGTCTTTTTAGAATTTCAATCCAAATCCTGTTCTGCCACCTTCGAGTGCACGCCCTGATCAGGTCGAAAGAGTCTTGAAAACTCGATTTCATGATGCTATGACTAAGTTGCAGCCGCATGGGAGAGAGCTTGATTTGCTAGTTGTCATCTTGCCAGACAATAATGGATCTCTTTATGGTATAAATGAAAATAAAACCTCTCGTCTTCTTTAGCAGAAGTTTGCAAGGTGAGGGGGCTAATTTTTTTTTTTCTTGACCAGGTGATCTGAAGCGTATATGTGAGACTGAACTAGGAGTTGTCTCACAGTGCTGTTTGACAAAACATGTATTTAAGATGAGCAAACAGTATCTAGCCAATGTAGCGCTGAAAATCAATGTGAAGGTGGGAGGGAGAAACACTGTGCTTGTTGATGCAATATCGAGGCGAATTCCTCTTGTCAGCGACCGGCCTACCATCATTTTTGGTGCAGATGTCACCCACCCTCACCCCGGGGAGGACTCTAGCCCATCCATTGCCGCGGTACACTTTGTTATTCAGTTCGTGGACCACATCTTTATCTTTCAGGTTCTGAATGTGTAAAATAATTTTGTCTTTGCACAGGTGGTTGCTTCTCAAGATTGGCCTGAGATTACAAAGTATGCTGGTCTAGTGTCTGCTCAGGCCCATAGGCAAGAGCTTATTCAGGATCTGTACACGACTAGGCAAGATCCTGTTAAGGGGACAGTTGCTGGTGGAATGATTAAGTACGATAACTTTATTGCTTCCTCTTTTTCTAGTACTTCTGTACTTTCTTGGGTTTTTAGCAGTTGGTGTTTCTCTGGATTCTGATAGAGGAAGCTTTTAGCAGCTGGTCTCTTCCTTTGGATTCTGATGGAGGATTGAACTTTTCTTATTATGATATTCTAACTTTTCCTATTTATGATTCAGGGACTTACTTATATCCTTCCGACGAGCTACTGGACAAAAGCCCCAGAGAATCATTTTCTACAGGTATGGTGAAATAATGCTGTTACAAGTGCAATATGCAATTTTTCTGTTCTTGTTCTTCCTTTGGCTTAAATGAAATACTCTTTTTCAGGGATGGTGTCAGTGAAGGACAATTTTATCAAGTGCTTCTTTTCGAACTTGATGCGATCCGCAAAGTATGTTCCTTTCTTTTTTTGTTATTTATTCTTAATTATAGATTATGTGTAATCTGCTCATTTCCTTTTCCTACTTTTATTTATTAGAAGTAGTGCACTGACTTGAGTTAATTCAGGCATGTGCGTCTTTGGAGCCAAATTATCAGCCCCCAGTTACATTTGTTGTGGTTCAGAAACGACATCACACAAGGCTTTTTGCCAATAACCACCGTGACAGAAATGCAGTCGACAGGAGCGGGAACATTATACCCGGTAAGTGTTGATCTAAATTCTTGTACTTTGAACATCTTACAGGTGATGCTAAAATCTTATTTTCAAAACATAACTGTACAGGTACTGTTGTAGATTCAAAGATATGCCACCCGACAGAGTTTGATTTCTATCTTTGTAGCCATGCTGGCATACAGGTGAAAGATTGCTATAATGTAAACCATAATGGTGGTCAAGGTGAATCCGAATTGTAATGTTAATGAATGTTGTGATACTGTAGGGTACGAGCCGTCCAGCTCACTACCATGTTCTATGGGACGAGAACAAATTCACAGCCGATGCGCTGCAGTCGTTGACCAACAACCTCTGCTATACGTAAGTGCACTTTTGAATTTATCAGGATTGTTCTGGAAATTTCCTTCTGCACTTGGTCATTCTGATGGTCTTTAATCTTCCTCTTTTTAGATATGCAAGGTGCACACGTTCCGTCTCCATCGGTATGCCCCTACACTTGTTTATGGCTTTGTTTGTTGTTTAGTCGGTTCTTTTGTAGTCTGTCCTCCCTTCTTTTTACTTATTTTAGCAATAGCTCGTTTATCATAATATGATTTTGAACAGAAATTTTTTGCTGTTGCAGTTCCCCCTGCATATTATGCACATTTGGCAGCTTTCCGTGCTCGGTTTTATATGGAGCCTGAGACATCTGACGGTGGTTCAGTAACAAGTGGGGCTGCTGGTGGCAGAGGGGGTGGTGCAGGAGCTGCTGGAAGGAACACCCGAGCCCCAGGTGCTGGTGCTGCTGTTAGACCTCTTCCTGCGCTCAAGGATAATGTGAAGAGGGTTATGTTCTACTGCTAGTCTTAACAAACAAGCTATAGTTTGGACTTTAGCTGACAATGCATCCTTTGGAGCCATCGACTCTGTTAATTGTGGCTTTATCATGCCTGTTTGGTTTTTGCGTTTTCCTATAAATCATAGTTGTAACTGCTTGGCTTCTCCTAATATTTGTTACTATTAATGCCGGAAAACTAGTGTTTGTGATGACTTGGTTTTAAGCAGCGCTCTCCTTTCTAGATTCCTCGTGATATTTATTTTTGCACTCAATTTTTAACATGGTGCTAACACCATGGTATAGATAGGTCGAAACCATCAGTGCTTGTTTAGTGGATTGTTCTTGGATCTTGCAATCATGTATCAAAACACTTGGCTGTTTCAAATTCCTATTAGTCAATACTATATCATTAAGATGTTTCCAGTAGAAGTGCAGTGAGGACATTACAGACGTGCCATGTCCTCTCTGATTTGTGCGACTGTTATACCAATGCATGCTTCCAACTTCCGATCCAGTATTGTTATAAACTAAAGAAAATAAGTATGTTCACCACTGGCGGAAAATCAAATGGATGATGTTTTTCGCTATTCTAGAGGGCTTATAGGAATCTATTCTTTCCATTATAACTCTGATGGTTGTGTCTAATCTCTGAAGGTGGAGAATGAGATGAACCTAACTGTTACTGCAACACAATAACGAACGGCCATCTCTGATTAACGATTTAATTATAAAATTTAAATATCAGCACTGTTTCCTTTAGTAGGACTTCATTTATAGCATACACAATTCACTGCGTGAAAGTAAAGGGAAGGGTAGATGAAATTTTGTAGGTAAACTAAGGAAGAAAAGAATAAATCTCAGCAAAGACAAGTCGTACAAAAAGAAAATATTGGAAGCACTCAAACGTCTGGAGGGAATAGCAAAGACAAAACCAAGATTTGATGGTAAACAAAAAGGGAATTCTTTACTTTGTCTCCACCTTTCTTCTTCTTCCTTGTTGCCACCTTAGCACATACTAGACACCATGGAATGTCTTTATCTTTGCTTCTACACTCCCTCATTGGCTGCCATCGAATTCCCTTTCCACGTGCTTACTTTCTCCTTTCATTCAACCATTTCTTATATAAAGCATTGCACCATCATTTGTCACCAAGCACCAAGGGTCCTCACTGCAAGTTTCAACCTATTTTTTTCTTTGCACTCGTAAATACAAATTTACAATGGCCTCAACAGTTGCTGATAGCATGCCTGATGCTTTGAAACAAAGCCGGTATCATATGAAGAGATGCTTCGCTAGGTGAACACCCTTCTTGTTCTTTTTGTTTTTTCCCTCTACCATTTATGTCAAATTTCCATGCATAATGCTAACTGCTTTTTTTCTTTTTGACTTCAAAATTGGATGTGAAAGGTTCATTGCAATGGGAAGGAGGCTGATGAAGTTGAAACATTTAACAGAAGAAATAGAAGAAACTATTGAAGACAAGGCAGAAAGAACCAAGATTTTGGAGGGTTCACTTGGAAAAATTATGAGTTCCACACAGGTCAGCACCATTTAACCAACTTAGTTGAATAGGAAGAAGAAAAAAGAGCAAAAGAGTTATTGCAAGGCGTAACGATGTTCTTATAAATTTTCAGGAGGCAGCTGTTGTTCCACCTTATGTTGCTTTTGCAGTAAGGTACAATCCTGGCTTCTGGGATTATGTCAAAGTTAACGCTGAAACTCTCTCTGTGGAAGCTATTTCAGCCAGGGAATATCTCAAATTCAAAGAGATGATCTTTGACGAAGACTGGTAAGTGGAAAATTGTATCATTTTAAAGAGAAACAATTTTGTAACATACAAGATTAGTTTTGATGGTTGAATGTGCAAGCAGGGCAAAGGATGATAATGCACTGGAAGTAGATTTTGGTGCTTTTGACTACTCTAATCCTCGTTTAGCCCTTTCCTCTTCTGTTGGAAATGGGCTCAACTTTATCTCAAAAGTTTTGTCTTCAAAATTTGGTGGAAAGCCAGAGGATGCCCAGCCTTTGCTTGATTACTTGCTAGCTCTTAATCATCAAGGAGAGGTATGAAAATGGACTACCTTTGTTTCTTAAGGAATGATACAATGATGTGCATAATAAAGATCCTTTTTAAACATTGAAACTTCGTAGAATCTAATGATCAATGAGAATCTGAATGGTGTCTCTAAGCTTCAAGCAGCATTGATAGTAGCTGAAGTTTTTGTATCTTCCTTTCCCAAAGACACACCTTATAAAGACTTTGAGCATAAGTAAGCTTCTCAAACGTTTCCGTTATCATATGCAATGTACCAAGAATATGTTGCCTTTTGGAATGTTGTTTATGTTTATGACTTGATTATGAAAACTCTAGGCTCAAAGAATGGGGCTTTGAGAAAGGGTGGGGCCACAATGCAGGAAGAGTAAGAGAGACAATGAGACTGCTTTCGGAGATAATCCAAGCGCCAGATCCCATAAATATGGAGTCCTTTTTCAGCAAGCTTCCGACTACATTCAACATTGTTATCTTCTCCATTCATGGTTACTTTGGCCAAGCAGATGTCCTTGGTTTGCCCGATACTGGAGGCCAGGTCTACATACACAGCGATTTATCTCCTTTTGCCTCATATTGCTTATTAGCGACACTTGCATCATTGAAATCAAACTTGTACTTCACAGGTTGTTTATATTCTGGATCAAGTAAGGGCTTTAGAGGAAGAAATGTTACAAAGAATCAAGCAGCAAGGGTTAAACGTGAAGCCCAAGATTCTTGTGGTGAGTTATGCAAAAATATGCTTAGCCAAGGTTTTGAAATTGTTCAGAGAGGGGATTAAGATGATCGAGATATTTGTTTCCTGCTTCCACTGATGTGTGCAGGTCACCCGTCTCATACCAGATGCTCGAGGGACTACATGCAATCAGGAGATGGAACCTATACTTAACTCGTCCCATTCTCACATCCTGAGAATTCCATTCAGGACCGAGAAAGGAGTTCTTCGCCAATGGGTTTCTCGGTTTGATATCTATCCTTACTTGGAGAACTATGCCAAGGCAAGTCTCCTACCAAAATTACCACGTATTCATACACTTTATTCAGTTTTTTGAGCTAATCATTCTCATTTGTCACGTATGTCGTCAGGATGCTTCTGCTAAGATACTTGAGCTCATGGAAGGTAAACCAGACCTCATAATTGGGAACTACACTGATGGAAATTTAGTGGCATCTTTATTGGCAAACAAACTTGGAGTTTCTCAGGTTCCGCAGCTGATCATATGATCATATTTTCTACATTTTTTTCTTGATAATTAAAGGGAAATCTTATGAGATGATAACATTTTAGGGAACCATTGCTCATGCATTAGAGAAAACTAAGTATGAAGATTCTGATGTGAAGTGGAAGCAGTTTGATTCCAAGTACCACTTTTCTTGCCAATTCACTGCCGATTTATTGGCGATGAATGCTGCTGATTTTATCATTACCAGCACATATCAAGAAATCGCTGGAAGGTTAGCACTGACTCTCTCAGTATATTTGGCAACTAAATGAATTTACTGCAGTGGCCAACACTAAAAGCTATCATTCGTCCTTCAGCGAAACTAGGCCTGGACAATATGAAAGTCACACAGCTTTTACCATGCCGGGGCTTTATAGAGCTGTTTCAGGCATCAATGTATTTGATCCAAAGTTCAACATTGCTGCTCCTGGGGCTGAACAGTCTACCTATTTCCCTTTCACTGAGAAACAGAAACGATTCAGCACATTTCGTCCTGCTATTAACGAATTACTTTACAGTAATGAGGAAAACAATGAGCACATGTAAGTCTAATTGCCCATTTTCCTAATCTAACCATTGCTTAAATCGTTCTTTTTTTACCGGATGTGTGGTACTTATCAGTGACATTTTTTTCTGGATCAGTGGATTTCTTGCAGACCGGAAAAAACCAATTATATTTTCAATGGCGAGATTTGATACAGTGAAGAACCTGTCAGGCTTGACTGAGTGGTATGGGAAGAATAAGAAGTTGCGGAACTTGGTAAACCTTGTTATTGTTGGGGGATTCTTCGATCCATCAAAATCAAAAGACCGGGAGGAAGCAGCTGAAATCAAAAAGATGCATGAATTGTTTGAGAAATACAATCTCAAGGGACAAATGAGATGGATAGCAGCTCAGACTGATAAATATCGAAACAGTGAGCTATATCGAACTATTGCTGACACTAAAGGAGCTTTCGTCCAACCGGCTTTATATGAAGCTTTTGGACTAACTGTTATTGAAGCAATGAACTGTGGATTGCCTACATTTGCTACTAATCAAGGTGGACCTGCAGAAATCATTGTTGATGGGGTTTCAGGCTTCCATATTGATCCTTACAATGGGGACGAATCGAGCAAGAAAATAGCTGATTTCTTTGAGAAGTGTAAGGTTGATTCTAAATATTGGAACAGGATATCTGAGGGAGGTCTCAAGCGCATTGAAGAATGGTAACAAACTAGTTCCAAGTTTAAAAAATGGAAAAAATGCTTATCATGTTATATTTTCGTGGTTTTAAGTCCTGCTTCGATGCAGTTATACGTGGAAGATTTACGCAAACAAAGTGTTGAATATGGGATCAATCTATGGATTTTGGAGACAATTCAATGTGGGACAAAAGCAGGCTAAGCAAAGATACTTTGAGATGTTTTACAATCCTCTCTTCAGGAAATTGGTAGGTTATATATGTTGATTACAATTTACTAAGATCCTCAAAATGAACAAGAAATATACATTGACTATGCTACTCTTATAATTTCACAGGCCAAAAACGTCCCGATCCCACATGAAGAGCCATTGCCATTTGCAACATCAGACACTACTCAATCCCAAGAACCAAAACTACCACTACCAGTTCCAGCAGCAGTAGCAAAAGTTCTGCCATTACCAAGGCATGCTTTTAACTTAATTACTTCTCTACCTAGAGTAACCGGTGAAGTGGCTGCCATGTGACCAGGAGGTCACGTGTTCGAGCCGTGTAGGCTGCGTACGATAGACCCTTGTAGTCCGGTCCATCCTCGGATCCCGCGCGTAGCGGGAGCTTAGTGCACTGGCTGCCCTTTTTTACTTCTCTACCTAGAGTGTATATATATCAATACAATGGAGTTATTTTCTGATTATCTTGATTCTTGGTTTAAAACAGGATTGCACCTCAGGAAAAAGAAGAAAAAGAAGACGACAAGAAGCTTGAGACCTCAAGAACAGAGATGGCGCAACATGCTTGCCATTGGCTTTGTCTTTGTGTTTCTGCTTCTGTTATAGTTTATGCTTTGGTAAAATTGTACCGTTTAGTTGAATGATTCAGAACCTTAACACGTTAGGAAAGAACACTGAAATAAAAGGAAAATCATCACAGGGACAAAATGCTAGCATGTGTCTCATTCAATTGAAATGTTAATAATATTCTTGTAGTGATGACCAATTGCATAATAAAATTGCCAGGCATTTTAATTCGGTTGAATTGCATTTTATGACAGGTTACCACCTGATGGTTAAGTAGCTTATTAGTTTAGGATTTTACTTAATTAATACTAATAGCGTAAATATTTACAATCAATATATATATTTTAATCTGTCGTAGCAGGTAACATGCCTTATTTTCAGGTTACTAACCCTATCTTTTGCGTACAGTTACGTGTAGTTATCTTTTATATGACGTGATAGTAGGAGACTCTTTTAATAATCAATTTGAATGTATAAAAGTTATAACTTGTTAGTTTAACCGCGGAAGGAATTGACCAAAACAGTAGAAGGGGATCAAGTGACAGGGTTTTTCCTTTCTTTTTTTGTGTTATTTTTCTGGCAATTCCAAATTACAAAGTTGGTCAATATATAATTGTGAAAAGTTACCATGAGCTGATAAATTCCAAAAATTCTGCAGGTGACAAAACATAAAAAAAATAAAAGAAGAAGAAGAAGAAGAAATATTATGCATGCTCTTTACATGTAGATGAAAGTGAGACTAAGTTCTGTTGCGTAATTTCAGAAAACCTATTTCTAGTGAAAAACCACTATCACATGAATCCTTCGAGTGAATAAAGGAAAGAAACCAAACACATGAATCCAATATGTCGAATTCAAAGGACACATGAAAAATCTCTACGAGAAGGTCGACGAGGAACAAAACTCATGAGTTCATTCATGCTTTTCTCTCTTGTAGTTGAACCATATATGCGCGAAGCCAGGAATACGAACGGTATTCAAAATTTAATATATACATATAAAAAATAATTTTTAACCTATATACACAATATAAATTTTCATATACACAATGTAATTTTTCGATAAAGGGTGTTCGATTGACCATCCTTCAATGTATGTGGCTACGCCACTGCTGACATATGTAATTAGCAAATCTTCCAAAGAAACTCATAAATTAGTGCGATTAAAGGTTTGGTAATACAATGACGGATTCTAGGATTTTCATATCATGGGGTGTTCAAACTTCAACTATTTTTAATCTGAAATTAGCTATTGAGATAGGGTGCTCAGTTAATATATATATTTATATGAATTACTAGTACTTTTAAATAAGTACTCTAGAGCTGATGATCTTTCGAAAATATTCTCTCTACCTTCATAGGTAGGGGTAAGGTCTGCGTACACAATACCATTTTCAGACCCTATTTGTGAGATTCCACTAGGTTATTGTTATTGTTTATATAAGTACTCCTTCCGTCCGAGTTTACTTGTCCTATTGATTTTACATACTTCATAAGAAACAATAAATAATATGATTATTTCACTATATCACCCTTATTTAATATAGGTTAGTTTGATATTTACATATTATCTTAATGACACTTTTTATTAAGAAAGACATGACATGTTTAAAATCATAGTTAGGGGTGGGCATAAAATTCGAAAAACCGAATTCCGAACCGGACCGAATTATTTCGGTATTTTGGTTTCGGTTTTTTCGGTATTTCGGTCTAATTCGGTACTAAATTTTCGGTATTTCGGTATTTCGGTTCGGGACTCGGTATTAGAATTCTGAAATTTCGGTATTTCGATTATACCGAAATACCGATTTTTAAAAAGACCAAAAAACCCAGCCCACTGCCCATCGCCCCAGCCCAACGCCCAAGCCCACCCTTCTTTATTTAATTTCCAGCCCCAGCCCAACTGCCCAAGCCCACCCTTCTTTATTAGCTGGTTACTAAATACTAACTTAGTTACTTAGGGCATTAGGTTTAGGCTAAAGAGTAAAGACAATTTTATCTGCTCAGCAGACTGCTGCTAGCGCTAGGCGATTTGGCGTCGGCGATTTGGATTTTGGGGCGATTTCCGACTTCGCACTTCGCAGCTCCGACTCCTCACTCCCCAGTCCTCACTCACGCTGCTGTTGCGAGTTGCGACTTGTGAACTTGCGATAATTTCAATTTTCAAAGGTATGTTTTCACTTTTCTAGCGATTTTCATTTTTCTAGCGTATGGAAAATGAATTTGATGAAGATTTCTAGCGATTTTATTGATTTCTTCTGTTGAGTACTATTTGTTTCAAGTATTCTGTTTCTACTTTTTATTCTGTTTCAACAAAAAGGATGCATGTATGATGTATCAATTGAGGTCTTTTTGTTT